AGTACGAGCACGTATTTGTATGCGTCTTACTGGACGTAGGAAAGATGCTGCAAGAAAGCCTGTTAGGGTTGTACTTAGTGATGATAGCCAAGCTGAGTATATATTTGAGGAACAACTAGGAATACACTGATCAGCATACATCAGAGTAGTAGCATACTGTGAAACCATGTTGTCTGTGAATGTGACTAGGTAAGGCAGTGCCACTGGTCGGTGTTGTGCATTGCACCAAGTGTTCAAGTGACACGGAACGCTGTGAGAATGTGCAGGTGGATTCTGAAAGTCCTCAGAAAAGCCGCATCCTAAAGGTTACATTCAACACGGTGGAAGAAAGGAACCTGATTCTAAGTAATTCACGTAAACTGATTGGGTCCGAAATATATGTCCGTCAGGACCGCAGCCTAGCTGATCGTTTTAAGAGAAGAGCTGCAGAAGCGGAAATAAACGAGCGTCGCCGAAACAGTGAAAGAAACCTCGTTCGTAAGGGTTTTCAGATTGTAAAATTTCGGAGCAAAACGATCCCCAAGCCACTCTGGGTGGCAAGGGAAAGCTCTCCACAGACTTAAACGTGTGCTACGCAAATGCTCGCACCCTACTAAATAAAATGGCGGAGCTGAAGTTGAAATGCCGAAGGCAAGATATTGAAGTAGTTGTAGTTTATCGCAGTCCAGGATGTGTAGCAGATGATTTTATCCTAAGTAAACTTAAGTCCTGGTGTAACAACGGTAAAAGTCTTGTAGTAGGCGACTTTAATGCACCACATTTCAACTGGGTTAACTTAGAAGTAGGGTCATCCATATCGTCGTTCGACTGCAAACTGTTAGAAACCTCGATTGGATTAGCATAATCCAACACATTAGAGATCCCACAAGATACGACTTAAGAAACTCTTCCTCTCGTTAGATTTAGTGTCACACATGGTGATGATGTTGATCAAATGGCTTTCTCCCACCACTTGGGAGAAGTGACCATACAGGTCATCTTATTCAAATTCATGGTTGAGATTGGCTGGCAAACAGTTGCACCGGCCCGTCCTAACATATGGAAGGCAGATATGCAGGCAATAACTCCGCAGCATCGGCTGAAACTGAGAGTTGACTCGAAGGCATCAGTACAAGAAGCATGGACTCTATTCAGGCAGTTATACACGACGGTAACTCAACCATACATAACCCTGGACTGTCCCAAAGAAAAGAAGCACGGACATCCCTGGATAGGGCGGGATATTCGACGCTTACTAAGACAAAAGAAGAAAATTCTGGGATGGTGCCATCCGCCTTGCACAGCAGGTACGTGGAACACTACAGATCGATAAGAAACGAGTGTATAACTAAAATACTATTTAAAACCTGGAAGCAGTGGACCGACATTTCGTCCTATTATGGAACTTCGCAGTAATGTACATTCACCTCCCACCCTTGGGAATCGAACTCAAGACCTTCAGTTTAATACATGAACGATTGACATCTAGACCAGTGAGTCAGCATCCGAATTTATGATTTCAATGAAATTTTATGCTGTTTCATTGACTTGTTTCGACATTGGTTTCCAAACGTTCTAGTAGGAAACCGTGGTCAGTGTCGTTTTTCAATCAGCAGCGAGTAATTTACTCTCCCAGGACTCTTGATGACAACCGTGCTACATACCCGATTGTCTAAAGTTGGTTATGGTGACCACTTTATCCTGACCCAGTAACTAAATGGTTTGATGCTTGTCCAATAGCCTAAAGTCCTAAATTCGATGTCCCACCTTATAGTCAAATGTACACTGCATTCAAACGTCCAAAAATGAGGACAAAGCAGCTGACTAGTACAACCAGTTCTCAATTTTAATATAAATATCCAGAACACTTCATTGTATGCAAATAATTTGAAAATAGTTCTAAGTCGCTCTTAATTAAAATATCCATAACTAGGACGTTTCTATGTACGACGAATTATGAATGTTCTTGTTTTCTTTTATATCAATAGAAAATTAGAGAATTATCACATTTCATGAATTTTACTTCACATTTATAAGGAAAAATATTTTTTTCTGGAAATGTGTTATAACGAAATATTTAACAACATCGTATTAATCAAACTTAACAGACTAACATATTTGCATAAATTTGTTTTCATGCAATTCATTTGAATGTTTAATTAAGACAAATAATTTCTATTAAATTATTTTTCTTTAAAAAAAAATAGTTGACATACATTTTGTTCTAAAGGTTTACTATGACATTTTGTTGGTTTATAGCACAAAACAGAATTTATTAATTCTGTTTTGTTTATGAGAAATATAATTGAACATTTCATACTGATTAAAAATAACGGAGCTACATTACAGCAGAAACTTCTACTTGACAACTTGAAAACCATTGATGTAGTTTCATTTACAAAAAAGCTATCAACATAGGAATACCCTCATTGTTGCTGTATGCTATGGTATTACATGGTTTTCATTTTGTGGAAAGAAACTATTAGCTATGCAACATCAAGATACATTAAATGCTCAAATATGATCTACAGAACCTTTGAACCTAAGTTTTGTGCTGGGTAGTGTTTTCTACGATCAACTATCGTCAGTCTTCGGAAAACTAATGTTACCAAATAAGATTTGAACTCATGTCTTCCAGTTTCTTGGTTGAAACAATAGCTCCGATGTCGAACTGAAATAATTAGTCTTTATATTGATGGGAATCGATCAACACTGTGCAGTAAATAAACACGACGCTGATTATCACTCAGCGACCCAATGCTGAGCATGGATTTATTTACAGCAAAATTCAATTACCACAGAGACCGCGATTGGAAATACTTGCTTTTGCTAGCACCTTAGAGATTTGATTACTATACAATCATAAATACTGAAATCCCGTTTGAACTGCACATGACTTTAAGTCGTTTTAGATATGGTTGTTCTGTGGTTTTCATACTCAATAATATTTAGTGATGCTCAAAGTAATTATAAAAACCAAATGATGCTGGTTTATGATATGACACCATGAAACGAACAGTAGATCCTATAACTGATGTCGATTGGTGGATCAAATGTTCAAGAAAAAAGTGGAAGACACAATGAGCTTGGAATAAATCCAAATCTTTGAAATTTAAGAATTCGTTGCCCATTTAGTTGGAGAAGTATCTATCAAAATTTATGTACATTTGTGAGTTATCAAAAAACACCACTTTTTAGAAAAATTTTGAAAGTCCTAACAAATGTTTTGTCATTTTAATGTTCTATAGAAGCTTACTGTAATTTGAAGACTAATTTTTTTTATTCGAGTTTCAACTGATAAACTTTAACCAAAAAAAATTAAATGATTGAAACTTCATCCTAATTTGGAATACCATGTTTTATTCCATACTAATAAATCAATATGTAGGAGATCAAAGCTTCTAACAACATAAGTAAATAACTATTGCACTTTTACTAGTAACTTATTTCAGATTATTAACTACTGAACATATACTATTGACATTGTTAGACGGTTCGTAATAACCAATGCATTTTGTCAGAGCCATCATTATCGACAGATACAAGCCTGATACGTGCACGTTAAGAAGGAAAGCTTCAAGTTTTATGACTGTCACAGGAATTTTAAATTTCCATAACCCCCTATTTTTCATTTCTCCACTATTTAATTAAATAAACTAATAATAATTATTATTTTTTTTTGTATTATTCATTTAATTTTTGCATGATTTACGAATAATTATCATAAAATACATTTGATATATATGGACTATGAATTAGAAATTGTTTAATTTTTAATTATTTTTTTTCCATTCATATTGGGTTTTTTTAATGAATATTCATTCAATTAAACCAACTATTTAATTATGTCAGAATGGGTTTCGTGGAGATTTTAGAAATTTCACAGATTGAAATCATGAGTCAGTTGAAGCTGGACCACCATTGAAAACCTGGATGCCGGCTCAGTGGTCTAGTGGTTAGGTGCTCGCACGCGAAGCCAGTAGGTCCTGAGTTCGAGCCCCGCGTGGTGCGGGATCGTGGATGCGCACTGCTGAGGAGTCCCATACTAGGACGAAACGGCCGTCCAGTGCTTCCAGGTTTTCAATGGTGGTCTAGCTTCAACTGACTCATGATTTCAATCTGTGATATTTAATTATGTGTAGGTTATTATAAAATAGTTTTAATGATAAACAATGAAAAATATAAATCAGTTTATGGATCCCCTTATTACACAACATTTGAATTGACCGATCATTTTTAAATGAAATAAATCTCTTCACATAAATATATACTGATTAATTTACTCAATTCTCTGATGGAAAATCAAAAATATTAGTGATTTGTGAACATGATCTGTAAGCTTTTCATTCTAATTTAAGACTAAAGTAAATCTTTATTAGACAAACTCTTCATTTTGATATACGAAAATGTAATTGAATATTTAAAAAAAACTAGATATTATTTAATTTATATCTAATGGTTGGTTAAATCTTCTGATTGATATTTACGACTATGATTGATCAGTTTCTTTTGGCATATATGCATACTACCTCAATATTACCATTAAGTCACAAGCAATTTTAAGTAGTGGAATTCAGGATGGATGTTTCGTTCTATTCAGACTCGTCAACTGTGCCTACCTGAATCTCATAGTTGATGTTCACTCTGGGACTCGAACCGGCTACTGATTCCAGTAGCTAAGTAGGTAGTGTGATAGTATTTAAAGTGATTGAACTCGAATGCAGGCACATTCAACCGAAAAGTTCTAAGTAGAATCTAACGAGCGTCCTGAATACTACTACTAACCACCTTTAGTCTCTATTCATTTCAATTATTATAATCAAATTATTTAAGACACAAAATTGAAACTAAGACAATTGTGATTTTTATAAAGTTGAAAGAAAGTGAATATGTTTTTTGTTAAACTTTCTGGTTGTTATTTTTATATAGTGGATTTCGTTCAAGACATTCCATTTTGCTCATTAGAAGATTTATCTGAAAATTCAGAATTAGTGGTATTGTTGTATAAATATCATTTTTTTTTAATTTGACAAAATATTCTTTTGTTCACCTGGACCATCTATAAATGATAGAGAAATTTCATTTTTAACCGCTGATGTGAAAAAACGTAGTTTGAAAATACTGTTTTCAAAACTAAGGTCTGTGCATTCTATATAGTGTTTGTCTGCAAAATACATCCAGTTTTTCAATGAAGAGAATCATTAAATTTGGACTCGTCTATCTACAAATGTCAAAGAGTTAGTCACCTCAAGCAATTTCGAAGTACAATATGCATATAACAATGTCTACTTATTAAGTCCTATTTAATAGTGACTGGAATGAAAATTCCTCCTTTTATTTGCTTTTACAAGTTGCTTTTGCTATTTAACAACAACACTAAAACTTTAATTTCATGACTCAGAGTAATAAGATAGTTATTTGGTTTCGAAACATTTGCAGAAATTAAATAAACGTTAAGACGAAACATAAATAATTACTTCATGGAATCTTCAAGTCGATTTTATTTTGTTTCGTTATCATCATTATCAATGGTACTTCTACTTCAAAAATATTTTTTTAGAGTAGAAACGGTAGATTTATACACACAGAGGTGAAAAAACATCAACAAAAGCATGCAGAATGAAATTAAGTCAATAAATTATTATTATCTTATTTACAAAACGTGATCACATGGTAGCACCTACAAAATAAATTCAGCTACAATAGAGAACCAGAAACTGTTTAATAAAAAAAATGTAAATATCGATTATCTTATATAAAATTCAAATCATTAATTATGTAAGTTAGTATAGACGCGATGGAACAACAGATATTTTCACCTTAGATTTCATCATCACAGAATTTCAAGGATCTGGTTCGAAGAAATTGGCTCTCTTCCAACAAATCAGATGCATTTAAGAGAAATAACATACTAACTGCTAATCACCAATAGTTCCAATAATCGTTAATTATCAATGTACCATTATCAATGTACCATTCTAGAGCAGTTATAGACCAGATATCGCTGGATCGGTTGCAGATCAACAACCGATTAGCGTATATATTTTAGATTTACCGGAGTTGTAACATGTTTCAAGCAGACTGATCATGGGATTTGTTACTGCAATACTATGTGATGTAGGCTTGTATCCACTAAGGGAGCAAAAGATCGTTGGTATGACTTGCTAATGATGACCAAGAAGAAGGAATTCGAGCCTCAAGACTCTTCCAATAACTAACAACCACTCACAACTAAAAGGCGTATATTTGACGACTGTTTTCTTAAGGTGAATTTAAGCAAAACAAAACGTAAACCTCTTCATTGCAGGGAATAGTATAGTTTAATAAAATGAAGTAACCTGTAAACATACCATTTCCACTTATTAGAAAGTCAAATCCAGAATTTCTGTCAAAACGATACTTTAGTTTCACATCAACCAGATCATAAACACCTGATAATGCGCCAACAGGTGAACCAACACTACTCCAACCCTCTTCACCAAACTCGTACATTTCTGGTGTACGGTTCCAGTAAAAATCAATTGTCCAATCTCTTATCAAACTGTTCTCATTTCCACTAGAATTGAGTGGAAGAGAGAAACATCGAAGAAAATTGTCACAGCATGATGAATTCGTTGTTACTATTATCAAATTATCTGGCTCACCATATGGTATTTTTGATTTGTTATTACTGTTATTATCCGATATATTGCTGTTTGTGTTGTTATGATTCATCAATAAAGATTTATCCAAAATGTAAGAAATCTCATCTTTTGAAGAATATTTCTCTGTCAAATCGATAGGAATTCGATAACAGGTTGTCTAAAACATTTTAAACCAAAAGTCAAATATTTCGTGGTAATACTATAATTAGTTTTTAAAAAAGTGAATGCTTATTAGTGTCAAGCAAAAAGTGCATCGAGTGTGAAATACTGATATTTTTTAGCATGAAACTGAATAAAAACCACCACTAGCTACGTTGTTCAGTTCATAAAAATTATGTACTAAAGTCAATGCAAAAAGCCAGGTCAATAAAAACTGTTTTTCAAATAAAGTGTAAATATAGTTGATATTTTATTTCAACTATTCAATGCTTACTGTTCAGTGTAAAATTTGAAATGAATCTGGTAAATCAGTAAGATGAATATTGTTTTAATGAAGTTAGACCAAAACAAACCATGAAGAAATGAAATTTTCCACCCTTGGCTCCACATCCAGGCTAAACTTTTCACTTATCAAAATTCATAACTCTAACATAACCTACAATCAATCACTTGTTTCTATTTTACTACAATTTTACAGTAATTAGATAGTGTCAAATTAAATAAACAACCTCTACGTTTCCCTCAAAAGTGGATACATGGAAGGTGATATGAAACTTTTCACATTCATTATAAGTGTAGCAACTAGTACGTGAAATAACAGTAAATTATAATACTGGTAATTTTACTGCCTCCGTTAGATAATTAACTACTACAAATCGTTGAGCAGCAAACTTTATTTTCTCTAGTTACAGAATCTAGCATGAGAAATCAATTGGGTCATTGTTAAAGGTGGAAAAAACATTTCACTGTTAAATATTTATTCCCAATAAGGGAGATTTGTGGAGATTATGGTAGACCAAAGTAGAATTCATGAGTCGGACTAAGCTAAATCACTACTGAAAATCTGGAAACATTGAACGACCATTTCGTTCTAGTACGGAACTCGTCAGCGGTGAATTCCCACGATCTCGCACAATGAATGACGGGTTGCACAAGATCATTCATCAATTGAAGTTAGATATTAACACCGTTAGATGCCAGCTCATTGGTATCCGCACGCGGAACCGAAGGCCCTTGGTTCAAGTCCTGTGTTCAGGGTGGTGTTGTAGCGTAGATCAACTTGTGATTTCTACTGTGGAAATATTTATTCAGTCATATAACTGGAATAGCGAGCGATGATTGGAGCGTGAATGCGGTGTGAAATTATTTGCGGATAATTGTCCATAACATGCAATCACGTTTCGAGGATTGATGATTTGACTTGGGTTTCAGTGACAAGCACAAGTTAAATAAACATGTCTCAGACACAATAAGTGGCAAATGTAACAATAATCATCACCATACGAATTATTAAGTGGTTCTGAAATCATAGAAGAAATGTTGACTAAAAAACATAATAATGGATCTTTATATTATGTAAAGGTGAAGTTAATGTTTACATAACGGATGGTTTGAAATATATTTTTCTCTCTCAGGTTGGTAATTCTTCTAACTGAACTCCAGATTCTGTTTCCTAAGTTCTCTAGTATCTCCCTCAGGCTAATCTACACAGCAACTTGAACACGAGAGAAAAAGCGCGAAATATAGAAAGAACGCTTCACTCCAAAATTCGTTTGTGTTGAGAAAATTTAGGGTATCCATAGTATGTTAAATGGTCTTGGGCTTTCGGAAATTTCTGAAACACTACTAAACATAGTAACAGCATAGCTAATCATCAAATCAGAAACGCGAAATGTGACTTGTCACTTTCTAGATGTTTCTGGCAAAACTTCTATTGGATATTGATTTGATAAGATGTTTCTCAGAGTCTTCAGAACCTTTTTGACTTTTTTCAAGGAATTTTCTGGATCTCCGGAACATAGGTATACAGCGATAATATGTTAATATGATAGTGAAACTAACTTACTTACGCCTGTTACTCCTCGTGGAGGAGCATGGGCCGCCCACCAGCACTCTCCATCGAACCCTGCCCTGAGCAATCTTTTCCAACTCTTGCCAGTTGTTATTCATCCTTTACATATCTACTTCTATTTCCCGACGTAATGTGTTTTTCGGCCTTCCTCTTTTCCACTTCCCTTCAAGATTCCAAGTTACTGCTTGTCTCTTGATGCAGTTTGGTGGTTTCCTCAATGTTTTTCCTATCTACTTCCAACGTTTTTTCCTAATTTCCTCTTCAGCTGGTTTGTTATTTCCCACAGAAGGCTGTTGCTGACGATATCCGCCCAATGGATGTTGAGTATCTTGCGTAGACAATTATTTATAAATACTTGTACCGTCTTGATGATGGTTGTGGTAGTTCTCAAAGTTTCAGCTCAGTACACTCGAACTGTCTTGACGTTCGTATTGAAGATTTTGATTTTTTTATTGGTTTAAAGTTTTTTGAGTTCCATATGTTCTTTAATTGTAGGAATGCGGCCCTTGCTTTGCCAATCCTCGCTTTTACGTCTGTATCGCATCCTCCACGTTCATCGATGATGTTTCCCAGGTATGTGAAGGATTTCACATCTTCCAGAGTTTCGCCATTAAGTGTGATTAAGTTGGTATTCCCTGTGTTATATTTGAGTATCTTGCTTTTTCCTTTGTGTATTTTGAGGCCTATTGATGCAGAGGCTGCTGCTACACTAATTGTCTTTATCTGATTTTGTTTGCATGTATGGGATGGGAGGGCTAGTTCATCTGCGAAGTCCGAATCGTCTAATTGGTTCTGAACTGCCCATTTTATTCCGTGCTTTCCCTCAGATGTGGAGGTCTTCATAATCCAGTCAACCACCAAAAGAAAGAGGAAGGGGGAGAGTAGACAGCCTTATCTGACTCCGGTGATAGAGAGACTAGTCACGCTATATTTGATCCATGATTCATGGCCCAGAATAGAGAACCAGATTAACACTAGGTAATACTTTATCCAACAAAATCACAAACAGTTACACCCAGTAAGTCCAGAGTAGAAGCTAATGAGAGGAAAGGAAATCACATATTTAATAGTCCGTAGGATGTGCGTTAGGTAGTTTTGTTATCTGAGCTGGATGGTTTGGTTGCTGAGCTTTCATTGCTCTTCTGAACAATATCATCAGCACAAACATCAAGTAGAAGTAAAGTGTTCGAATTTCTCCACATCTGACTCACAGCTTGTCCTGTCAACCTCGATGTTCATTGGTTATTGTTGACCTTTAACCTATCATTGCCTAACATTATTTTGACTGTATCTCCCTTTGATTTGATTCTTAGTACTATATCTGTGCATGTTTTTTGATCGATTGATAGATTGGGTCGATTCCAATGTGTTTGTTGATTCACCTGAGTATCAAGCTTCTAAAAATTCCCTGGTGCTTTCGGTATTCCCTCTATCTAATATCTCAACATTTTCCCAGTCAAAAGCGTGTCTGTAGTTGCTCACAAGTATTGATATGAGGGAAGATATGTCACGACTTTTGACCGCTAAACAATGTTAGTGCAGGAGAAGATGAAGTGGGCGCCCACTTTATCCAATATAGTATTTTTCTTAGTCGTGACAGTTTATTTTATAGGTGATGTTCGGTTTTTCTTTTTTTATCATACCATCCTTTGTTTTACATAGAATTGTTTGAAGTCATTTCGCTGGTTAGTTTGCTACACCTATTCCTAACGGCTTTAATTATCTCATAATTTCTGACATATCTTTTATATATGATAGGATGATCCATTGGTTGTTTTCTGTACTTGACTTCGTTTCTGATGATGAGTTGAGTTGATACTTTTTGGTGAATTCGAATGGGTAGGTGTTCTTTTGATAGATAGTCACTAGATACTTTTCTTTATTTTCCCGCACTGCAGGTGTGCTGCAGTGTATTCCCAAACTCCTGAATAAGTGTTGTACACAAACCATTTTGTGAGTTCTTGGGTTGTTGCTCAGATCAGATTGTTGGTGTTTTACATTTCGTCTTTTTGATGATGATGCTTCGACCACATAAAGAATCGACATTTTCGGCTTGATCACTGGTTAGATCGAGGCTTTAAGTCTTTGCATTGCTGCTCCCGCAATAAGTCCTGATATTGATGATTTCATCGGTGTTCCTTTCGTTTGTTCGTAGATTTTGTTGTTGAATTGATAGTATGTTGTTAGGCATAAATCGATGAGTTCTAGTAAACTTAGACTTTGAAGCTTTGTGTACTTTGGAAGATATGTGTCTTTGTTAAGGAGCATGGATCAAATTTCTTTTCCTAAGTTTGGTTTAATTGAAATGAATAGGGCTATTACATTGAGGGATATCATAAAATCATCGTTGTTGATTTGAATCTCCTTAACCTTATACATGAACTGCATGATAGATTTGATGGATTGATTGAATGAATCCACTAAATGCTTAAATATTCTTTAAATTTCTCTCGATAAATTGTATGCTGTATGGGAGTGATACAGTTGGACATAGTAAAATATTTGGATGTGTATTTTCGAACTACCGTAGAATCGAGGTGGTACTGCTTTACTGGATTTTATTTTCCATTGATCTTGAATTGATATTTGTCATCTTTTTATAAGCTTTTTTAAGTCCTTGAAATTTGGTTGTCTAACCTTTTGATTGGATTTATGTTCATTAATTTATACACGTTTTATCCTCAAGCAAACCCCCGGCTTTCCTGATACATCCTTCTTTGTCCATAATTACTGTAGTGAGTCGTTTGTCCTCTGGAACTATGACACTATCTCTAGTTTTTATCTTCTTTGGGGCTTTTTGTTCTTCTGATGTCAGTTGAGTGTTTTCTTTCTTCTATCAAGTTAACGCCACTATGCTTCGTCTTATTTCCTTTTGAGCCTGTGTGTTCACGCTCAGTGACCAATCACATCTTAAATTCGTTACCATATATCACATATATACCTTCTTTAAATTTGAAGTTAATGGTCATGATTCGTAAGTGGAAATGAAATATGATTTTTAAATTACAAGAGCCATATTTTCAGAATAAACGTAGAAGTACAGAATAACAGAAACCTTGAAGACGGTAAAACTAAATACGCATGAAACTATACTTTAAATAATTTTCAGTTAAGCTATAAAAAATAAAACTTACCTCTTTCGAACGATTGTTTGTATATGTAATAAGAAAATAACCGCGAAACTCCAGAAGAGCACATAACTGATGAAAGTCATCTTGAGAGATAACGGTAAGTCGATTTAATGGTGGTAAATGTGAATTTCTTGAACTTGAATTCATTGTTCCACTTTGTTGATTATTGATGTTCAAATTAGTATCCTTCAATTCAATACACTCAGTTACATTAACTGAATTAAAAGAGTCTGAGTCTTTTGCAGTATTTTGTTGATACTGAAGTGTTGATTTAACTGAGTAAGTAAAAAATAAACTATTTATAAAAACATTAAACAATATATTGCTTATTCTTCGAATTCATTGCCATTAGGCTTTCTCTCAATTATGACTGAACATTAATAACGTGACACTAATCATTGTGCGTGTATTCATCAAAATATGGTGGTAGAAACAATTCTTCTCCATGAATAGCTTCTAGATTATGTGACCCAGTGTGATAAAATCTCAAGAAATTGTCCGCGTGAGGAAATCAATATATGCACTAAAGGCTAATTACTCTTCGAACAAGCATTCCAAAGCTAACTCTAAGTGAAGGGAAGTAAATTTGAAATATCTACTATCCATAGACAAGCAAATTTCCGAATTGGCAAATTTGATTGAAGCACTTTTCCAACCTAATATCGAACGTTTTCAGAATAGTCTACGTGCTTAATGAAACTCAACCTCAATCAAAATAAGTAACTCTTGTTTAAATATCAAGTAAGTGACAAATTCATATTAAGTCAAAGATAAGTGTTATAACATAACAGTGTGGTTTAATTGCAGTAGACCGATTACAAACGCTAAATATTGATATCACCAGTTATGTTTCTAGCCACAGAAAATTACAGACTACTCCAAAGTCAATTAAGAGTAAAAATACTCTTGTGTATACAACATATAAAAAAATCTTATTAGATCCTTATCCAAAAATACCCGCCATAAAATGCTAAGTAAATACAAATAAGACAAAAGTTATAGTCTTCATCAAATGAAAATAACAAGATTCATCTATAAACATCCAAATTACTGCAATGGCTAAAAATACTTAATTTTGATTAAAGAATAATTATACCTCATTTATTAGCTGATTTATCTCATAAATAATGCCAAAATACCAAACATTATATTACATAAAGTTCAGTCTGTTACACTGAGGATTTTTATATACAGTTAAAGCAAGTATGGATATTTAGGCTAAAAATTATCTCGAAGATAGATTTGTCATGAATTGATATCTACCAGGAAAATAAAGAAAATGAGGCACCTCTAGACAGACGAATCACCACAGTGTATGCTAACGAACCGAAGAACATTCAGACCTTAAGACGAGTGGATCATCTTTACACTAAGAAGTCAGATATGATATTCCATATATCCAACTCCAATTAGTTCGTAATATATTATGGTGATTGCAATGTTTATCATGATAACGCAAATAATATCAGTCGGTGACCAAAAATATACAAATCCAACTGATTTCTCACATATTCACTAACACTTACCACCTGAAAACTTCAGCTTCATCTCAATAAGTCGTAAATAACTATGAGTAACGCTAGTTTATCATTTTATACTATAGTTGAAACAAATCGGAAATTATGTAATCTAATCGAATTCGTTAATGAATTACCTTGATCAATACATAGTTCACTTCGCTATAGAGAGAAAACTACTTAGTGGTTGAGTTCATGAGTCAATTAAACCTAGACCACCATCATTAACAAAAAACCGTAACAAAAAATAACGTGAAACCATTTTATTTTAACGAATTTTCAATGAAAATTAGAAATCACTGATTTAATCAGCCACACTTTAACATTCATAACTATATTATGGTAATAATGATACACTACACACCACAACTGCTTATTATCTTAAAGTTCCAAATATACTTACCATCTTATACCTAATTTTTTTAATTAAAAAGACTACTTTCAGATATGACAATGGATTATTAAAACGAAAAAATTCAAGATAGAAATGCGCATTATGCCAGTAATTTTATACTAACTCAGTTTATAATAAAATGGTAAAACTAAACCTTTTAAACTTTGAATTTTTTTGGCGTGCTGAAAATAACAGTCGAAAACAACATTTGTATTCAAATTTGGATCCAATTTCATAAGTCTATCACTGACACATGTGTAGACAGAGCATTATAATCTGTCAAGTTCTTCTGTTAATCACACATATATAACCAGTAACTTGATTAAAGATTTATAAAATATATAAATTTGACTAGATTCCCTTTGCAAATTAATCTCGTCTAGATGACAATGAAACAGCAATTGTTTTAGTTATGTTCATTGATATCTTCAAGGAAATTTGTTATATGAAATGAAACTATCCGAAATTTCACATTAATCAAATACAAGATTTCGTATTTCTACCAATACATAGAATAAACCAGATATCGAATTATTATTCTCAATGGTGGACAAACATTGTAGCCCATAAAGACACTGATAATTAGTCGGCGATATTTTCCAAGAAAATATTTTTTATTTCTTAATACTCAACAGAGTAAGAGTCTTTTTCGTTAAGTGATAGTCCGCGTACTGCAATATATTCAAATGAAATGAAAATAGATAGCCTCAAAAGTCCTACACTCCATGAGAATAATGCATTGAAAAGTAATTTTTCTACCGAGAATATGTAATCCCTTTTGAACCATACCACTTTTATGACCACCTGTGACATTAATCGCTTGGTAAAGTTAAAAAAGAAGGAGTAGGGTACGAACTTGAGAATTATTGGGTAAAATTGAACTATTTTAGTCCATAAGCCATCTATGCAGTATTAGGCTGGAATAGACATTATGTTAGAAGAAAGGAAGTTAATAACGATGAAGTATCATTCTGTAATCATTGATAAGCAAAAGTAACAAAAAATAATACTAACACTGACAAAATTATTACACAAAAAACAATAATATTTATGTGCGTTCGTTTAAAGGTCTATAAATGTTAGTTTATATTGGCCAGTGTAATACAATGCTCTTTGATAGTAATTCGAAGCACAACCACTGAACATTTAGTAGACTATACAACTTTTTTTTTAAAAAATCGAATATTTATTAAATTATTATTTTCATTAATAATATTACTGTAATATAATTAATTTAACAAGTTTATTACAACTTTACAATCACATAGATACTAACAACTTTAACAATAATAATTCACATGGATAATAAATATGAAACATGACAGAAGTTTGATTTTTCGTAGTTGAACAAAATAAATAAAAAAAATCAAAAGTATTAATCCATAAAAATATTTGATTCTCTTCATAGTCATTCATTTACTTCATCTCATATCTTTTTTCTTTAAATTATACACACATATATATATGAAGAGAGAGAGAGTAAAAATAAGGGAACACTAAAGATATTTCACTTCTGTTACAACAAATTAATGTGCAATAAACATTGAAGATCATGTACATGCACCAAGGCATGAAAAATTAACAAATAATGAATATATAATTAAATTTTTTTTCTAAATTAAGAACTAAAACTGCTAATCACAAATAAAGAGCACTGCATACAATAAATTTATTAACAACAGTGAAGCTCAACAGCATAACTGTAGACAATGTGCATAAAAGTTCAATGTTTGAAAAGCAGTGAAACTGATAAGGATTCTGTAGACGATACAATAAGCCTATATTTACTTAGATAAGTTACTCATGTACAATAAATAAAACAAATTCGTTTAGTGCTGCTTCCGTTTACGATGAGCCAAATAAGCATTTATTCCAAATACTGAAACAATAAGTACTACCACAACAAGCAATGAAACTCCAGTCAACGCTGTAATTGGTATATTACTCTTGAAGTCACGTGGACAAACTTCTCGTAAGCCTAGAAAAGATTAGAATACAATTGAATAACGTATAACAAGAATAACAGTATCCTTACGATCTGGTCTAATTGTTTCTTCAGCTTTAAATGCTTGAAATGTCATTGAATTAAAGACAATCTCAACATTGTGACCAAATTTAATTGGTATTTCTGTATCACACACATACACTTCATCAGTACGAGTTAAAAATTTTTGATCAGACGAAGTAGAAACTATATTTGTGAAAAATAAAGGAATCGGTTAAGTAGACCTTATGTTCAATTTAACTGTTCGATACATACTTTTGGCTTCAGAAGTAGGTAATTCAGATTGTGATAAAGTGGATAAAGGCTCAGCGAACTGATATATTAATGTCATATTTGTCCATGCAAAGTATTCCTCATCCTGCTCTACTGTTAACAACAAAACACATTTCTGTAGTTTGGAACCTTCTGTGGACATAACCAAATTAATACTAATTAGTTGGTTATCTGATTTTATAGTTTCATTTGTATGTACATTAGATGAGGTTGTCTTCGGAATAAACGTATAGTTCTGTAGTTCACCAACATTTCCATCCACCTACATTTACAATAAAATAATTTTGACGGTATCATTTTAAAAAAACGGATGCTCACGCTTTCACTGACTGGATAAAAGAAACGCAGTTTCCAATACCATTCTCCGGAAACGTAAGGTAGATCAATGACGGATACTTTCCCATTTGATGAAACTGTCAAACAGACACAACCTGTGAGATACAACAATAATAATCGTAGGATAACTGCATGCATATTAAAAATCATCATAACGTATGGTACACATATACTGAAAGACAACTAACATCGAAATTTTAAAACACAACATATTCAGAGGACAGTCTACATTCAAACAAAATTGGATAAAGAAAAATAAAAGTAAAGTAGGACTTTATAAAAGTCCACAATAGTTCAACTTCCCACACTTCACATTAGCATAAGGACAACACAATAACAAGAGGAAAAGTATGGACGAAAAAATGATAATACCGACAGTGGTTGAAATCTAGAAACATGTAAATGACGCAAAATGAAAAGCGAACAATGGACAATTATACTGTTTTCAAAGGAAAAACAAAGAATTAATATATCTTCATTGGTGCGGTCAATCTTCATCAAGAAATTACTTCATGGACCTCAAATAGTCAGTTGACACATTCTGAAACGATGCTAACTAACAGTAAATGTGTTCACCAATCATTAACATCCGGTCTAGTTACCCTTAGCCTTTCTAAAACCTACTCCCATTTTACTACGCATAATGTTTGATTATTTTTGTCAAACATCAAATATCCCAACTACATTAATTAATTTGCCAATTTTACTTAATCAGCTAATCACATTTATAAGTGATAGAGAAGTTAAGAGAATTCTGGATATGTCACTTGTCATTTTAATTCAATAATACAATATATCACAATAAAATATTGAATTTTACTTTCATGGCTGGATTTCATTCTTAGGAAATCGTCAATTATGTACGCTTAATGCTATTTGCATAGTTTTTCTAGCAACCAAGTCTAAGTAGTGACCAGGTTAAGAAGAACAATCAGTTCTCTATCGGTATAACCCAAAACATTCTACAAATATTTCAAACATAAACTAAGAACACTTTAAAATCGCATTAGGTAGCTTACAGACTTAAAATTATGATCTTCAAACCAAATGTAGACCAATCTACTTAAAATATCGCAATTCTAAGTTTTCGATTCAGACAAACACAAGCTTAGAATTATAACTGCACCTAAGACTCTCAAAAATACTAAATCAAACCAATTTGTGTCATCACGATCATTTTCTGCACTTACTAACGTTGATAAAAAACTATCTTTCCTAACTGCATTTGGATAATTACTGCTGCATCCCGATAAGAATAATGAACGTTAATTTTTGGGATCCATTTATGGACCAATATTATTAGCATATTTTTATCGTATAATTGTTATGTAACTGAACTGTTTATATTCATGTCCCTCTTATTGTGAGCTATATTTTCACCTATGAATTATTATTATACGATTTCCCATTCATGAATTATTCCCTGTCTGTTAATCGCTACCTCCCTCATTCACAGCAACATCTGGCTAACTCTTGTACAAATGTTGTTTCATATTTTATTGGTACGTTATGGTCGGTTTGTTTGGCATATAAACTCAGTATGCTTGAAATATAGTGATTCATATCTCAGAGGCTGAGACTTGCGTCCTGGACTCAAGTGGCTGGGCTAGACAGGGAGGTGGAACCAATTAGAACTCCAGGCCGTTTTTACGTGTTTACGCGTCTTTGGTCCGATCGATAATTTGCTGCCGTCTAATCCACAGTCACAAGTTATAACAAATATGTGTTATCATACACAGTAAACTGTCAGGTCTCACAAAAAGTTCCAACAATGAGCAAACCAACGCAGATATCATATAACTCAGTATTCATCTCGGGAAAAAGATGGGAAAAACCTGTCATTTTTCCGTGTTTCATGGGAATCGAACTTGACATTTATTTAGAAACCATATTACTTACAGAATAAAATTACCAACACTCGTGTAAGTCTCGATCATCGTTCTATTTATTTTAAAGACTTATTTATGTTCGAAATCATTCTGTTTATATCATGTAACAGGTAAATCACAAATTTGAGCTAAAACTTAAGGGTAAAAACTAATACCTGTGTAACATGACTATGGAATTTTCAACTTCGTAAATAAAGCAAACGTTGATTTTGTAGCTGCCAAATTATGGAACTGAATTAATCAACTTAAAATTTAATCAGTCGGCCGATATAAAACTTCTTAACCATTCAGTAATTTAAACATTTACTCAAGACAATGAATTTTAAATCAAAGATAATTAAGTGAACCATTTCATTTTAAAAAAATAGTTGAGAAAAACTGTTCGAGAGATTATATTTTTTTGTAGATATTCGGTAAACTAGACCACTGAATATAAAATAACTTACATGTGACTTCACCATCCGAATTAACTAAGGTGAACTGTACAAGCAAGAGAAAAATTATTGGAAACAAAACGTTCCAGGAAAATACTTTGACAAAAACTATAGCTAGTAGTAGAAAAGTTGTTCAAATTTTAGAGGTAGTTAGCAGAAACCTATAAAACCAAATGTTATGTTTGTTATTAAACTGAGTCTGAAATCTCAATACCAAGGAATAAAAAGGGGTTGCTTTTTAGTAACCCAAACGTCCGTTACTCAATCGACAATCAGGAATTCGAGACCAAAATTTACCCGTTAAGACTAGTCTGGTTTTAAAAATAGTCACTGATCATTATTCGATCATAAACTGTTTTGTCTTAAGAGCTGACGGAACTTTCAGAGCAGATAAGGGAAGTATAATTTAATTGATATTTCCATATCTTAACACTTATCCACTTGTAATTGCAGGACGACATTAGTTCTACTTTAGTGTCTGTCCAATTAAGTAAAAACAAATGTGCATTCATAACTTATCCTCAAATTCCGCTTGCTAATATATGAATTTAAGAATAAATTCTCTATTGAGAACACGACACATCAAATATCTTATTTTTCTGTCCATTTAATTGCCCTTTGACTTCACTTATTTCACAGTTAGCTACTTAATAATGTTACGTTAATTTTAATTTCGTTTCTCATCCTTTTTTGTAGTTTTGAATTCCGTAAAATTAAGACATTAATAAACCTTGAGTAACTGACGAGAGAATGAGCGACTTGGTGAGCCTTGATAAAGTTATCTAAATTCAAAAGATAATGAATAACATAAAGTGTCAAACAATAAGCTATATTTCAGTAAAATCACCAAGTTAATGGTTTATCCAAATAGCAACCATGCATATCAAAATTATTGTTTATAGAGGATACAAATGAAAGCTTTAAAAAATATATATAGACTTCTCAACAGAAACAGGGCTGAACAGGTTCTTTAAACTTATCATCTTGTAGGTAAAATATTCCTTACATTCTCTGAACACTATGATAACAATCACATAACAGTTAACTACCGATTGATAACTACGTACTACGTGACTCAAAAAACTACACATTTGATTAGAATGCCTTAAGAATAACTGATGTAGCATTGTGTGATTTTAATTTTACTTTCATTATTATCGATTACATCAAGACCATGCTCGTTGTAGTAGGGTTAGTTTTTGTATGCTTCAACAATGATTCAGGTCAAAATAAGATTCTCTCGGTATCAGGATATAGGAAACGCGACTTCCGAATTGTTACGTCAGTTGACTAGATATATTCTGCTATTTTAATGTTAATAGACTTACACATACACAAAAATATCTTAACTAGAAAAACAACTGATGATCTGTTGCTAAATACAAATTATAATCTATAAAACGATTTAGTTGGATTAAATCACGTAATAATGTGTCAAATTACTACATATATAACAATATAAATCACGCGCTTGTTCTAGATATTTTATTAGCCAGTGAAAACATTCTTAAGCACATATTGTTGACAATATATGATAACAACAACAGTATCTCTATTCATAGTCGATAAAAAAATCTATCATTCTTACATGGCATTCAAAAACCAGCATAAAATACAGTGATATAACATGTTTATAAGCCTATAATCATACAATCTTGAATAGTTAAGATTACTACTACTTTTTAATGTGTATTGAAAAATAGATGATTTAGGGAGATTTACAGGACGATAGTTATGCAGTTAAAATGATGACAGCACTAAATCCAAGTACTAAGAGTAAATAGTAAGTAAAGTGAGTTACTCAGATCGAATGCATTGTATATCGTCTAAGGGCTTCAAGAAAATACTAGCATATTACAATCATAATTAGGTAACACTTAGAGAAATTAGGCACATCATTGAAAGTGACTATTTGTATGCAATATGACTACCACAAATGTAATCTTTTCTATGTAAAAACTTACAACAAACCAGAATCAAAAGTTAGAAAGCCTCACGTATTGTTAAGTTCTCTTCACTTTGACTGTCTAAGCTAGTCAACCAGTCAGTTATAAATTGATCAACATTTAATACAAAATGTGCATCTATCTAAATTGCCACAATTTGCATCAATTCAGAGGCGATAAATAAACAAAATGAAAAATAAGGGTTTAAGCAATCATACGTTTAGTGACATTTCAGGAAAAACATGGAAAATAAATCTTTAGAAGAAACAATTAAAACGACCAGCAGGCATGAAATGAGACTAAAACTCAAAATATGGAGAAATAGAAGAAATAAGTAAGTTTTCATGACTGCAACTTTGAGCCATATCAAAAAAATTTCTGATTAGAAGTTAATTTTTTTCTTCTAATATGATGGTCCACGATTGTCAACACATCTCGGAAAGCCAAGGGAATACTTCATGAGCAGATGTTATGTTTTTGTTTGGTCACCTTCCACCAGTTCATATTCAACTAAGCACCGCAAACTAATTTACGCAATGTTAAGTACATGTTTTGTAAATACTAGCCAATCAATTTTATGAAACCTTAAAACCTCAATAATTGGATTATTACAGCTTTTCCATCCACATATTAGGTTTCATGATCAACTAAGCCTTCTATCTGATTTGCTTGACTTATTAAAAGCAAATAGATAACAAACACATTTAGTAATTATTTTCCCATTTTATGAGTTGATTAGAATTTTAATTTTAGAGCTGTGGTTTGTCAACTGTAATGAGAAGACCATAAAGGCAATTTATGCGGTGACAACTGACCTTCTTAACTATCAAAACAAGTAAGCACAGTCAGGGAATAACCTAAAGACATATACTAGACTTCGAGACCAAATTCAGTTTCAGATATTCATTCACGAGTTGAAACTACAAACACAACCCAGAACACTCTAAGGGACTCTTGTTAGTAACCTTATCAATGTACATAAATGTGAAAACACATAATATTGTTAAACAGTAGTAACTATTACAAAATTAGAATAGACAAAATTTCAGCACTTTACCTATAGATCTAATTGTAAGCAATCATGAAAAAATCAAACGGAGTAAAAATAATAGAACATATCCCTGTGACTGCCTACTTGCTTTAGAGTAACAGGCATTTTTAACCAGGAATCAGACTCACAGTGGTGGTTAGTCAATTTTGCATGATAAATGATGAATAGAGGTTTTTTTCATATAAATCATATGAGATGTGTTATTCAAAATGACATAAGTCTGGTAAACTATTTTCAATATTAAACTAGGACATAAATTGGAACATTTTTTTGTTTACACATAGAAATATGCAATACACTTAAATGTATTAAATGAACTTTTGGCTAGTCCGGGTGGAAATAAAAAACATGTGAAAAACATTTCGGTACACCTAAAGCCATAATTACATAAAGATTTTCTAAAAGATAGATTATGACAGAATAGGTTATCAAAAGTTTCTCAAGTATCCTTTGTGAACGAATTATTTAGTAAAAGATTATAACGGTTCAAATGATTATAATGAAATATTATTAGATGAAAAATCAAAGTTGGGAATTAATTTGAACCAAAGAGGTAAGCAAAAAATGTTATGGGGGGAATACCTATCAAAGCATTGGTTTCACATAACTCATTGAAGGATTTATTATTATATCATTCGTACAAGATCTTACATAGATTGTTGAGAAAATCTGTAGTCCGATAGTGACTGTCCAAACTATTTTCAAGAACTTAGTCTTGTCACACAATATCTCGTGTGGGTTTAACTGGAATGAATTTTTTCAATAGACTACTACTCAACGTAGTCATCTATTTCATAAATTATCTACGAGCCACGTCATTTAGCTGCCTTTCGCATAAAAAGGAAGCATAAAGTTTCTCATTATAGTATATGCCAAACGAATCCCAGAAGCTGAAACAAGTATTTTAACGTAACTCTACTTAGTAAATAATGGTTAGCATAGATTTTAGATACTTACTACTTACTTTAAGTGTTGAAAAGTTTAAACAGTACTGCGAATTTACATAATATGAACGATTATTTAAGAGGACACCTTCTAACAGTTCAAAAACTAAGGTCGAATCGTTCACTTTTGAAGTTGACTTCCTAGCACTATGTAGTGAACTACTAAGGTCCTCAATCATAAAACGTAGCATCTTAATCCTATTTTGATACATTCAAAGGAATACAAGATCTTCACAATACTAAGAATAAAGAGCATTAACTTCCGTTCATTAAAATCGAAGAGCTACATGGAAAGAACTAAGTGCAAAAAGCGATATAATTTCAAACTGGGACACAACTGTATAATGTCATCAAAGGTGATCGAAACTACATATGTAGGCCTAATGTTTACTGAATAAAGAAAGATTGAGTTTTTTTGCTTGTGCCCAGCAGAATAGCTCAACTAGACGTAGCAGCGATATGTGAGAAATAGATCTAGGGTTTGAGCTATGGCATTAGTACGTGAAGTCAGTGAGCAATAGCCCTGCTTGAGTAACGATTTCTAAGAAAATATAAACGGCGACACCTCGATGAGGTAGGGAAGATTTGACATTGTGAATGCACCAGAAGCGTTGGAAAAACCTTCACTATCTCTTCTACCATGAAGATCATATGTAGGCTGGCTGTACTCATTATCAGTTTGTGAAGGTCTGAAATCTCTGAAATAAACTTCACAACGCTGACCGACATTTAAATTTTCTGATGAACTAGCGCGAAATTTCCCGTTCAGTTTCGCATGCGGAAGCTGTTCGCAAACTTCTTTTCCTTGAAAACATTTATCGTATGTTTGCTGACAGTCACAAGCATTGTTGAATTGCAACATGTGCACGCCTGTAGATTGCGAAAACACAGAACGACTTTGTATGAATTTGACTGACCTGGCCAAAAGAAATATCGTGTGCGCTTCTGTTTCGTTTGCCAAGCTTGGTAGACTGTATACAGCCAACGAAGTGACTTGACCAGACGAGTATACTTGTGTAAATAACGTAACTTCCAACATACAACAAATCATAAGTGTAGAACCATGATTATTAAACACCAACGACGTAATAGACACACTAAGAAAGTTTCAGAACATTTCTTTAATTGTGTTGGCGAATGCGCACCTCCATGAATATGTATATATACATATACATATGCAATGAATAAACAGTAATTAAAAACGTTCTTTGATCACACGGATAAAATCACTATAATCTTTAATTCCTTGGAAAAAGTCGTACATTTACAAGATGCAGAACAAAATCAAACAATTAAAGATAACTATAGCAGGGTTTCATGGGATATAAAAAGTCGATCTTCACAATGTGTCGTTTGTCATCATAACCATATAACTCAAACGTGAAAGGGGAGACAGAATTCAGTTGAAAATCGATTACGGATGCGTTCAAGGGACTTACAAAGCAGCACTGCAACGATGAAAATTGTGTGATGAGCCATTTGAACGCCTATGTTCATCCTGGTAATTTTGCCAAATACGAAAGTCTGCACAAACCAGTACATGTCTTCTGGTGTAGCTAAACAAATCGATAACAGGCAATTCCGGTAACTATAAATGATAAAACGAATGGTTTATACTTTATTTGTTTCGGTCCTGTGACAAAAAAACAAGGCTATCATTCCTTTCCTAATGTTGATAGACAAAAAATGATTAATTCTACGAGAAGTGATTTAAAAGTCAATTATGTTGTCGCTCTTACTACCGAAGAAGGTGAAGCGAAAATTGAGCCTTCACTTAAAAGGCAAAAAGGAAGTACCATCATGATAGCTCGTTGCAAAGGTGTAGTGGTAAATAAGTTCCCTAAATAAATAGTCCTGTAAATCTTCACTAATGCTGACCTAATTACTTTTAATTGACTCACCTAGCTGAAGACGTTCGGTCACGTATCCACATCAGATCACGAATGAGTACGCTGTGGTTCATTTTTCCTACAACCGCTAGTCAGCTTAGATTATTCACTTGATATGTCTATATTCTATCAAATATATCATCGGGTCTCTTTGCTTCTGATTTCACTTGGGTTGTCCCATTTCGATCATAAAAGGTGTTATTGGTTAAGGTGTTGTCAAAGTCCGGAGACTTGTGGGATCTTTAGTGGCGAGGCAGACGTGATCTGGTACACCAAACAATAAACTATGAGTCTATTCCTTTTTGAAACTTTATATACCATATATTGTGATTTCATATTTTTGGATACTTTTTCTCGTTCACTGCTATACTTTATATTCGTCATTACGAACAGACTCTTAAATTATTTAAGATCAGGACGCTTTCGTCTTCCGCATTTCAGCTAATTCCATTCTGATCCCATAATACAGAAGCCTGGTACCTCTACGCAAATACTGACCTCCACGTGCACATAGTGACAGACACACGTGCAAAGTTCCACACAGTGATGAAGGCACTGTCGAGCGAATCCATCTGGTACGCTATACCCAGTATGTTCACTAGCGATGTTTCGGAACCTTACTCCGTTTTGAGGAAGGCTATTCTTAAGCGCGGAGACCTAACCGACCGAAAATGGTTACACCATTTTTTTCACAACACCGGGCTGAAACATAGCTCAGTGGAAAACATGTTGCTACGAATGCAAGAGGTCATTCGTTACTGGATCTTTGACGAGGGCCTGCTCAGACGGCTCTTCTAAAATTCTCCAGTGAGTGCAAGCAGTGCTTGGCTTCTTTCGAATCAACGCTGTTGACGAACTACCTGCATCTACTGACCGGATTTTAGAGATCAACAGAACCTCCATTGCCGGGATTCATTCAGTCAAACAGAAGCCTGTAACAGCAGAAAACGACGTCACAGTCCTCTGTCACATTCTGATCCGTTATCTTAGTATCCATCATACTCGTAGACACCCCCAAACCCGAAGGAATTTGACAAGGAGAAGGTCTGTCTCTAGACCACGAGTATCAGATATGTCGACGAACGTTCGCTATCTGGTTGACACGCGCAGAATTAAGTGTCGTTCCTACAAATCGTAACGACCGACTGTACGGACCAGTTTTCAACTTACAGGTTGTAAATGAGAAACCGATCGCCATATACGGTAGGAGATATGTGTACTTCAACACGGGTTTACGCAAACTCATTTACTGGATCTTCGTTGCTACAGATGTTTCTATACCAATCAATGATATAGACCTACCAAAATACCATAATCTCGTCAACATGTACAAGCGGAGGTTATTAGAAGGAAATACTAAACTATCTGTTGGTGTAACTTGTCTCTCCGGTTGTAGATTATCTCTAGTCACAGCAAGGCACACGATCGATTTATACTATCAACGGATACTCGGCAAATTATCGAACTGTTGCAAACGCGAACAAAATTACCGTGTATACGCAGTAATGTCATACATCACACCGCGACTACATGATCACCTGAGTTTTCGAGAGCTCGCCCTCTAGCTCTCGTAAACCTAAGGTTGATCAGCATCGAATTCCAGAACATGATAAACTTGGGAACTATCCCGCCGCCAAACAGCTCATTAGCGTCTATCAGCAACGGTTAGTGTCAGACTGGTGATTATCGGTGACTGGATACGAAAGCCACTCCTGATCGTTGACCGTCACCTTACATTCATGATTTGAAAGCCACCTTAAAAAGCACAACTATTTTTGAGAAAGTCGACTTGGTTAAAGCATATAGCCGAATTCCCATGTCTGCTGATGACATTCCTGAGAAGCCTATCGTCACCCCCTTCGGACCCAACGAATCTTTTTCATGCCTTTCGATTTAAGAAATGTTGCATAAACTCCTAACAAATTTGTCGATTATGTCTTCAGATGTCTCAGCTTCGTACACTGCTTGATCGCAATTTTGAACAGAGAATCTCACCTCCAGCACCTGAGCCTTGCATTTAAACGACTCTAAAAGCACGAAATTACTGTCAACATTCAGAAATGTCCGATCAGAGCTAACTACCTAAATTTTCTCCGAATTACCGTTGATGCCCAAGGCATCCACCGTCTGAAAAGCCAAACTGCGGCCATTCTGGACTACCCTGAACCAACCACAGTCAAGCGGTTACGTCCGTTTAACGGCCCGGTAAGTTTCCATCGACGGCTCATACTGAATTGCACGTCTATCATGAAACACTTAACAGGCCAACCTCATGGAACTGCAAAACGTGTAACAACTTGGGTTGATTAGTTAATGGTTGACCTCAAAGAACTAAGTACGTGTCAAAACAATAGAGCTCAAGTGTTCATTCACTTACTTGTTTTGTATTGAAGTTATTATTATTGTTATTCACAAACATCTTATGGGTACATAAATGTTATGAAGAAACCACATCGCGTTTCTTCAAAAATGAGATAATACACATGTTTCGGTAATATTAGCATTCATTTGACATATATGAAAAAAATGAAAAAGCGAAAATAATGATAATAGAACAGTAATAATAAATCAGGTTCCGTGTAAATGAGAAGAATTTTGAATTGACTTTAAAGAAGGAAAGGGAGGATAAAAGGGAAAAGAAATAAAGGAGACATGAAATCTGTGGATAGGTTAATATACGTGTTTATGAACACAGAACAAGAACTAACGACTATGCATGTATCACCGAATTAGTAACAAAAATAAAATAAAAAATAATTAAGAAAAATAACTTGTTATTGCAGTAAGATATGACGTTAGTATAAGTGTTTGTGCAGCCATAGTTTGGAGTGATAACATGAAAGTCTCAACTATGTGCAAAAGAAAACCAAATATCAAAATGTATGGCGCTTTTGTGTAAATTATTATTAAACACGCTGATATTCAATAGATGACACAATCCACTTTCAGAAAGGAAATCATCGAGGGAACTTCTGAACGGGGTTTTAGTTTCACTACAACGGAGGTTCACTGACAGTCCTTTCCACATGGTTGAATACCGAATAACGAAAAAAAGTCTGGCGTAAGTTTGTGTAGGTTCTTGGAATAGCTATAATATTTTTCTTATTGCGTGGATTGTGGGATGATATCATAAAGTATGGAAGGGTGGATACCGAAGAGTAGAAAATACCGTTATTAGGCCGGAAGATAAAGACAAGGTTTAATTTGATACATCTGATCTAGAGAGGTTTTATTTTGAGTTTTTGACACCTTTGTTGATATTCTTTGTTGTCGGAATACCCCGGAACAGCATTGGTGAACCTTCTTTCAACACCTTCAATTTTAGTCAGGTCATTATGATAGCAGTTACTGTAAACTAAAATACAATATTCAAGAATGGGTAAGATACATTTTCTGCATAATAATAATTTTGATTCGATATTATTGAAGTTTACCATTACGAATCTGACGAGCTTTCTAGCCTTGAATACTTGAGATGCTCAGAAAATTTCAGAATGTCGCTCTATCTTAAACCCAAGTCACAAACAGTGTTGAGAGATTTCAGTGTATGTTTGTGTATAGCTGGATTTAGGTTAGTGCATCGGCTAATGTGAATAAGTCCAATTTTATCAACATTTAGTGGCAAATTCCACGAAACAGTCCATTCGTGCAACTTGTTTATTTCTTCTTGGATTACCGCTGAAATATAGCTTTTTTGGTAGGAGAAGAAAATGAACAAACCACCTTTAGGCCATCGGTAGAACGGAAAGGTTTGCCAAATTGAAAGAGGAAACACACCCAACTGATGAAAAAGAGAAAGAGTAATCGATCAACCACACATCCTTGAATAACTCCACTGGTTACATTCACAAGCGGACGATTTGGCTACGTTCTTCCAAAAAACATTTCGGTCAAGATAAAAGGGGATTCTGTATTCCAAATGAAGACAGTTTAGAAGAGGACGCTTGTATGAGACACTATCGAAAGCTTTACTAAAATGGAGGTACAGAGTTATCAATGACTGACCAACATCTCTTCTCTGGGTAATTTGATCAAAAAATTCCGGTTGCAACGTGAAGCATAAGCGTTTAGACATAAACCTCTGTTGAGATGGGCTAATCAGACCAGCCGAAAGAAAAATGATAATAGTTGTTCGCAAATGATTTTTTCCATGATTCTTGATAGCACGGATGTCAAATTAATGAGCCTATAGTTAACAATATCACTACGAGATCCCGTTTTGAATCTAGGGGTGTTAAGAGATGTTTTCCATACAGATGGATACGTCCTATATTACATAGATAGGTTGAGAAGCTTCAAACAAAATAGTGGAAGTTCTCTGCTACCATATTTCACAAATGACGAAGGAATCCCGTCGGGTCCGCTGTCATAAGACATTTTCTAGGCAGCTGTGCTTACTTACTTACACCTGCTACTTCTTTATTTTAGCTCCGACTTGCTTTGCATAATTTGAACCCACTTCACCTTTATAAACACTACAACTCATCGTTCTTTAATATGGCGTTCTTTTATGTGAAGGCTTTAACCGAATTTTACTTTAGCGACAATGGCTAGTGTGAGTTTAGTCCCTTAATTCATCACACTTTTAGCTGTTCTGTCGTAAACTGTTAAGTACTGTTTGAGAATTATATTGGAATGCCTTGTCGCACCTTTCGGCCTCAGTTTCAGTCTGTAAAGGCAATGGGCTAGATGGCCAGTGTCAGTCCTAATAGTGGTCGCAGTTCGTTCAACTTTCTCTCTAAAGCGTTGACAGATGAAGCTTCGACCACGTGTTGAGACAATGAATTCCACTGGTTGATGATTCGATGGGAAGGCCGATGGTCAGCTGACATGTAATTTGTTCTTGGCTTTTGAAATTTTCTGAAGTGTCCTCGTAAATTCTGTATTTTGGAAGTCAAGAAAAATGAGAGCAATATCAGATCCAAATTTCCCTTTAAGTATTTCGAAGATTGAAATCTAGTCACCTCTGGTCCTTCGATATGATAATAGAAATACGTTTAGTTCAGCCAGTTAAAATATTACGGGAGATATGCCATTCCAGGAATCAGCGTATTTACTGTTCTCTGAACCTTTTCCAAAAGCTCACTGTCTTTTTTTAAACAGGGGCTAGCCGCTTGTATGCAGTACTCAAGTTTAGGACGCGCGAATACTGTGTACAAAGTCAGGAAAGTTTTACTGTCGACATGGGTAAATGCCCTGCGTATTGACCCAGTAGGGTTGTAAAACCTTTGGCGGCTATTGCACGGCAGTGTGCAGTGGTCTTTAAATCCTGGCTGACGATGACCCTTAAGTCATTTTGTGTCTCGGTAACAGGTAGCTCAATGTTATTCATCATGCATTTATCTGTACCTTGATGACCAATAGGAGTCACAATACACTTGGAAGTATTTGTCAGCAACCGCCAGATTTGAGACCGTCCGGATAATTTCTGCAGGTCATTCTGAAGCTTTAAGGTTTCACCTTTACTTTTTATTGCTCTTGATATCTTGACCTCATCAGCATATAGCAAAACCGATGATGATAAGATACTGGGACGGTCATTTACGCAGATGAGGAACAACATTGGCCTCAAAACTGTACCCTGAGATACTCCGTTAAGCACAATTTCTCAGCAAGAAAACCCCAATTTCAGCCATACTCTTTGTTGGCGTCCAACTAGGAAGTATTTTATCCAAATTAATTGTTGGCCTCCAACCACAAAATTTCTTAACCTATATAATATCCGGTTGTAAGAAATTTTGACAAAAGCTTTGCTGAAGTCAAATGTAGGCTACGTCTATCGGTAACTTTTGGTCTTTAAGATAGCACCAACTTTCATGAGCCGCTAATAAGTTAGTGAGACAGAAATAACTTGTTCTATAACCATTCTGCTTTTCTGAAAAATTCGGTTTTCATCAAGATACTTAAACAGCTCCTTCTGAATAGTCTTTTCCGAAAATTTAACAACCACGCTGTTTAGACTATCAGGTCTCATATTTATGTTTCGTACCTGTTTTTAACACATGATCTAAGCTCACAGTGCCGGAAGCGGAACAGGACCTGGTACATTGTTCTTCTAGAGCTATTTAGTAATCGACCCCGGGTTACGGATAGATTGATACATATGCTTAAGGGATTTGAGACAAAATTATCTAGTTCTTTTAGTTGTCTATGATGCATCCCATCGGGTCCTGTGGACTTGTCTATGTCAAGCTTGTTTAACAGATCAAAAACATTGAGTTCGTTGATGGTCAAAATTTCCAGTGTGTGTATGAGAGAGCTCGTTTGAACTGAAGGATAGGGCGTCTCTACGGCTCATAAACTGCTAAATTAGTTTGAGGATATCTGGCCTTACCACGGCCGTTCTTCACTTATTATGAAATGCTACCGTCTCCTCATAATGCTGGAATAATTCCCCTTCTCATAACCCTTTGGTTTACGCGCGAGTTTAGACGTTTACGGTATGCCATAGATTCTTTAACAAGTTTTCATTCGTACAAACTTCTGAACTTGCTAAGGGTCAAGACATAAATACTTCGATTTCGCGATATTATACGTTATCCCGTCAGTATCATTAACTTAAATCTAGCCCATATTCTTCCTCTTCAAAGTAATAAAGTTCAAATCTCATTATTGAACGACAATAAGAATTTTCTCGGAACCCTTGATGTAGTAAAAGTAATGTGTGATACAGTACAAATTCTCAAGTACATAGAAAGCCGTTTCAATCGGGGACTCTGGCTCTATTATCCAATCTATTGTGGATGCTGAGTGTTTAATACCTATATTTGCTTTCCAGACGTTAGGTCTACGTTGGGCTGGCACATGCTCGTTAATGACAACTATATTGAAATCAAAGATTAGAGCTGCGTGATCACTTTTACCTGAGTATGGCATATAATCAAGGTTTGTGACGTCATCCTCGTAATGGATCAAAACGAGATATATTAAGGATGATTCGGAGTCTGGGTCGTATCTAGTTGCTTCTTTCCCATGTTGCACTAGGGCACATGTGATAATCACGTCAACTAGTTTCTGATCCAAAGACTTTTTTGATGATTCAGTTCTCAGATTTTTCCAGCCTATCGTGGGGGCGTTAAAGTCTCCTAAGATTAAACATCGCTCACTTTATGACCAAGTGTTGTGGCCATCTAGCAAGACTTCATTCACCTCACAGCTTGAACTGAGGAGGACCAAAACAATCACCAGCTCTTGCTCTTAGCATTTCAAGCAACAACTAACTAATTCACACGCCCCACTCATAGGATACCCAATCAATGAGCTACTACCAATCTCAAGACAGGATAAGTGAAGAGGGTTTAACATGGAATCAGCAACCGCATCCCGCTGAAAACAACTTTGCAAAGTATACACTTATCATTAGAAAATTCAAACCCTTTATACTCTGCCCTGAGAGTTGAAGGATCTGTATTTATGAGAATTATTACGCCTCATGGTGAAAGCCGAGATTCTTCAAAAATCTCGAGGCTGATGCCCCTTCCAACAACCAGAGCCTCAAATAATATAGGTGCGTGGAACATCCGGATAATGTGGAATACCGGAAGGCACAGTCAAATAACTACGGAAATGAGATACAAATTGTCATTAGGGATAAGGACACCCTACAGCGTATCCAGCGGCGAGCCACGAAATGTGTCCGGGGACTCTAATTTGAACCTTACGATGAGCGCTTCCAGTCACTTGACCTTGAAGATGCCACAGATATTCAGAGTTTGACAACGCTTTAACCAGTAACACCTTTTATATGAAGCGTACCCACCAAGTGAAGTCAAAAGACAGAAGCGAAGAGGTTTGAAGATATATTTGACGAGCTATCAATATATCGGGGATCGACTGATCTAATCTGGCTAGCGATTGCTAGGTATGTTGAGCACGACGTTCCAGCTCGTGATCTGGTGCGGATGCATGACCAGGCGCCTTAAGCTAGGTGAGTCCATTAAAACTAAAGTGGTCAGCATCCAATGTCGAAAACTTACAGAGCTATTTATTTTGGGGATATATTTACCACTACAAACTTTACCCATTAGAGTATAGGGGTCTTAGAGGTGACTTCCTGATAGCTTACAGTATCCTTAACACTTCTGGACATCCCTTGAACACCTACTTAAGTTTAGCTCCAACACAAACCTGAGGGTTAACACCCAGAAATTGGAGACACAACTTTGTAGAAGAGGTTGTAGACACAACTTGTACTCCTTATGAGTTGTAAATACTGGAATTCGCTGCCGGCTGAACTAGTTCAAGCGACTTCCCAGGAGTCCTTTAAGAGGCAACTTGATCTATCCTTGAGGACTAAAGATAGTATCGCACTATGATATACTAATATCTTTTCCTGTTTTATTGTTAACATACCTAGGTTCCTGCCTGGAGGATTTGGTGATCACCTGCTACTAGACACGAAATCCTGTTAAGCGAAAGCTTCTTCTATTCCGTCCACAACCATTTGAACCATTTGGACTATTTCAAATATTAACGCCACCTATTCCTGGTTACTAGATTGGTTGTGATTGTCCAGTTTGCAGCTTATTTGTAGTTTTTTCTGTTCCAGATTTTCACATTACCACTCACAAAGTGCTTTTAGAGTAGTTCCGAATTTATGAAAAGCTGAACTTAACGGGTTACATATATCATATTTTTATTTCAGTCTGCTGCTTCAACACTGTTTTTACATTTTTGTCTCAAGCCTTACTGCTTCGTGAATACACCGGTAGTATTTTTATTAGCGATACAACAGCGCTTGTTAATTAATATATCAGAGTGCACCTTAACGTACATCCTGATATAATACATCCCAAGCTCCCAACTTTGGGGGAATTGTAATAATGCATCCCTAATGTCAGGGGAAATTTCGTGGAAAGACGCAAAATTTCCCCGAAATTGTGAAAAATGTCGGGGTATAAGCCGACTTCCATAAAGTGTAATAAGATTCTGGCGAAATATTGAGGTTTTCGTGCCATTTTCTCAAAGCTTACTATGATGGCTTTTCCAGAATGGGTCATATTTTCCCTAAAATTGGGAGATTGGGACTGGATTAGTAGTGGACTTCGGAACCTGTTGGTGTAGCCACAGAGCCCTAGGAACAACTTCTTGAGAACACAGAGAAAGCCATGTAAATAGGTGTGGGCTACCTGGCTGTGGTCTGCGCGACTATCGCAACCAGTGATTAAAGGTGCAGAGTGACGCCACTCAGGCTCGTTTGTAGTGGTATGGGCGCGTGTACTCTTCATGTCATTTAGGACCTAAGTCCCGAAATCCCAAATTTATATATACGCAGTTTTTCTGCTTCTGATACTGTAGCTACCTTAGCGGCCTAATGGAGTGTGGCAGGTTCCATGTCGTGCATGACCAACTACTTCTCAGTACGCCTTTTGTAAAAGCCTTTATTCTATCTCTGTCAGGTGTTTTGAGATGTGTTGTTCATATATTAAATTTTTAAGAATCATTGCAAAAAGGATGTGCTAGAGATTTTTCTTTACCTAGGTCATACAATTGTTGCGCTTTTGCAATGGAGTAATATTTTCAGTTAATCTGTTGCTCATCAAAATTATTCATCATTTTGCTTTATGCTTTGGTGAATTCGGCTTAAATTATAATGACTAATATACCAGGATTAAAAAGTCACGATTCTATTCTTTCAAAGTTGGACACTTTCAAGCGTAAGAGAAAAGCTCGCCTGGAAGTTGAAGAACTCAATAAAGGAAGTCGTCAAGCCATCGAAATGGCAGTTAGTGCTTTAACAACTGACGACCGCAAACAATATCAATTGGAAGAACGACAAGAGCGTTCTTTTATTGAGAAGTCGTCGCAAGTATGCTTATGAATTTACTTAAATTATTCTAAAACTTTCATAGAATTCTGAAAGTGTTAAGAAGTTAGTGGACAAATTATTGACATGGATTAACAGCGAACTATCAGAACATCGAATTATCGTGAAGATATTCAAGAAGACTTATATGACGGTCAACTTCTGCAAAATTTAGTTGAAAAACTAACGAAGATAAAGCTCGATCATCTTGAGTTAACGCTATCTGAAATTGAACAGCTTCAACGCTTGCGTGTAACTTTAACAATACTAACTAACTGAGGTTTAGGGTGTATTACAAACTGTCAACGAAGTACTTCATGTATCAGAACGTTGGGCCAGTCAACGATGGACTTCCGAACGTATTCATCAGAAAGACTTGGTTGCTATTCTGCGCCTACTAGTTGTTACTGCCCGTCAATTTAAACCAGAAATGCGTTTTCAAGCACGTATTTTTCTTACCGTCATAATCGCTCGCAAATTAAATGGTAAATTGGAGTATCGTTACGAAAGGGAATACATCACTGAAGTCACAGAAATATTCCCCGGTTATTTGTTTCATATTACATTGTATTCATTAGCTATAGATGAAATTTCATTTTGTTAGCTGTTAGCATCTTTTGAAATGAATATACAATAATAATATGTTAGAGAATTTAATGATAATGATCTCATCTAAATGTTCAGAAATTAACATAGAAGCGACTGTCAACATGTGATAGCAAATGCACAAAACTAACTCGTCACTATCAACATTCTTTTTCACTTTAACCTCCCTTTATCCCACTCGTATCCATCTTTGTCCTACATCTATTTACACTCTTATTTTTTCCACTGACCCTGCTCACGCTGGTGTTTATGGTGTTACTCGAGTCATTGTCAACAGCTATGATGTGGATGCGACTCGATCTGACGACCATTTGTAGCGTGTTGTCGAGTTGGGATTGATTATAAACATCGCTACAAAGGATCGCGTGCCAAATAAAACAGAAGGTGAAGGTTGAACGTAACCAAATAAATCTATAAAATCCCCGAGAAGCCAAATATCAGAAGGCAGTTAATGGACAAAGTCGAGATATATTTGCTGGCGATCTCGTGGTATCGAAAGGATGTCGAGATCGTGCCAGGATACAAGCTTGGTTACAGAACGTAACCGAATTCGAGCGAAGCCGCAATCAAAGTGTAAGAATAAGAATGGAAGCACAAAATGGCTGTCATTAGCACAGTCAAACAAAAGCACAATAAAATAAGCACTGGTACAGTTGGTTATAATAATTGTCTTTATTAAACCAGTCGTGTTCTCGTGATAAATGGGGGTCACTACAGGAGCCCCCCGTTAGAAAAAGTTTACACTTTCGACAAGTAGCGGTTTTAATCCTGGGACTGATCGGCTGACGAGCGATTGTAGGACGGAAGGATTGGCGAAACAGGAAAGCGATCGTTGGTCGTCGAGTTGCCAACGAAGGTCTTTTTCGGAGAACGGTACCAGGAGCGATGTGCTGTATTTGTTGCTTGGGTTGGCATACTACACCAGAGTGGTTTGTCGCCAGGATCTGAAGATTGCGTCTAGGTCTAGCATTGAATCTCAGGTTATCAGATAGGGCTCTGTCATCGACGTGTGCTGGTTTGAGACGATCAATGCTGACGATCTCGACGCGGCCATGTCGATCAACCTTGAAGGTCTTTTCGTGACGAGCGATGACGCGAAAAGGGCCTTCGTAAGGTTGTTGCAAGGGTTTGCGTTCCGAGTCTACTCGTATGAAAACATGTGAACAGGTAGATAACTCTCGAGGGGGGCAACCTGTCGATGTTGTATTCGAGTTGACACCGAAGACAGCGTTCGCATAAATACAGACAGTCGTCGGACGTAGTCTGATTTACCGAAATTAGGTCTGCTCCATGGTGTGAAGAATTCTCCAAGCAGGCGCAATGTCGTGCTGTATACAATTTCAGCGGCGGAACATTGGATATCTGCGTTCAAGCTCGTTCTAATGCCTAAGAGAACGAGCGGTAAGGTTTCGTACAAGTTTTCGTGTGCTTGCCAGTTTACAGGTAAGATCAAATTGATACAAATTATACAATATCCACTGTAGTAAGTTACATAGCTGAGTTGATAATTTATAAGATATGAATGTAGATGGTTTTAATTAGTACGAAAGAAGGCCGCGCTAGTTTCAAAAAGGGAAGTGATTTTTGTATTTGTTGTAATTATACTTGCTTTGGGTACTTATTGCATTAAAAAGCATTCTTGGTCTACTTTAACTAAGAGTTCTTTGGTTGAAGTTTGAAATTTTTTGCTAAATTTTGTCCTAAGTACCTGTTTTTAGTCCTTGACTAACACTTGTGTTCACATTGTTATCATTTTTTTAAACCTTTTAAATCGAATTACAATGGTTGCTAAGACTCACAAACGTGGGCGACCACATTGTTTGTTCTCCGTTGAGGAGGGAATGCAGTGTGACGATTGTAAAAAGTGGTATCACAAAATGTGTACACGACTAAATTCGACGGCTTACAAAAGATGCTCGGAGCCTAACTCGCATTGGCTTTGTATGTTCTGCTGTACGGATAAAAAGGTACTAATACAGGAGGCTATGGGCCTATCGGCTTTGGCCTGCAAGAAAAACGATGGCGGAAGCACTGATAACAGGAGCACTGACGATGAAAAATGTGTCAGTGTAGTAAGTGCTGCTACTGGACCCATTAAACACCTGACTGTGGTTGACGGGAACGTGAAATCTCCGTTGACATTAATGATAAATGAAGTGTCGCTTGATATTGACATCGGCAGTCATACACCTCTAGTCGAAATAGAAGATCCGGATAAAACTGTCACCGTTCCACATAGTCCAGGTGTGGCTGTTCTGAGTGGTGACAAATGGACTCCGGTAAGAAGAAAAAAAAATAAGAAGAAAAAGGCTGTAGGCAAAACGCAGCTGGTCAGCAAGACATTGGAAGGGACTTTATCAGAAGAAAAATCCTCACCGCGTGAAAAGACAGATCTCTCTGAGAGATCAGTCATTTTTCATAAGATAAGAGAATCTTCAGACACTGAACCAAAGGCAAGATTTGAACATGATCTAAATCATATTAAGACATCATTAAGTAAACTACTCCCAGATACAGTTTCAGGAGTTAGTATTTGTAAGCTTTATAGAATAGGAAAAAAGGTAGATTCCGAAAGTCCTCGGAAAAACCGCCTCCTAAAGGTTACATTCAACACGGTGGTTCTAAGTAATTCACGTAAACTGATTGGATCCGGAATATATGTCCGTGAGGACCTCAGCCTAGCTGATCGTATTAAGAGAAAAGCTGCAGAAGCGGAAATAAACGAGCGTCGCCGAAACGGTGAAAGAAACCTCGTTCTTAAGGGTTTTCAGATTGTAAAATTTCGGAGCGAAACGATCCCTAAGCCACTCTGGGTGGCAAGGGAAAGCTCCCCACAGACTTTAAAGTGTGCTACACAAATGCTCGCAGCCTACTAAATAAAATGGCGGAGCTGAAGTCAGTGGTGGATAAAGAAAAACAGGACGTTATCGCTGTCTCGGAAACTTGGTTAACGTCAGAAATATTAGATAGTGAAATCCAGTTGACTGGTTTCATAACCAGTAGTGCTGATAGATTAAACCGAAGAGGAGGTGGGGTCATTGCGTACACGAAAAGTACCCTAACCATAAGATTAGCTGAGACAGTAGCACATGTTTCAGGGACATGTGAACTGATGAGATGTAAGTTGAAATGCCGAAGGCAAGATATTGAAGTAGTTGTAGTTTATCGCAGTCCAGAATGTGTGGCAGATGATTTTCTCCTTAGTAAACTTAAGTCCTGGTGTAACAACGGTAAAAGCCTTGTAGTAGGCGACTTTAATGCATCATATATAAACTGGGTTAACTTAGAAGTAGGGTCATCCATATCGTCGTTCGACTCCAAACTGTTAGAAACATCGATTGGACTAGCATTATTCCAACACATTAAAGATCCCACAAGATACGACTTAAGAAACTCTTCCTCTCGTTTAGATTTAGTCTTCACACACGGTGATGACGTTGGTCAAACGGCTTTTCTCCCACCACTTGGGAGAAGTGACCATGCAATCATCTTATTCAAATTCATGGCTGAGATTGCTTGTCAAACAATTGCGCTGCCCGTCCTAACATATGGAAGGCAGATATGCAGGCAATTAACTCCACAGCATCGGCTGAGAACTGAGAAATTGACTCAAAGGCATCAGTACAAGAAGCATGTACTCTATTCAGGCAGTTATACAATCGGGTAACTCAACCATACATACCCTGGACTGTCCCAAAGAAAAAGAAGCACGGACATCCCTGGATAGGGCGGGATATTCGACGCTTACTAAGACAAAAGAAGAAATGCCGGGATTTTGCCATCTGTCTTGGCACAGCAGGTACGATGGAACGCTACAGATCGATAAGAAACGAGTGTATAACTAAAATTCGGGAAGCGCAAAGAAAATATGAAATGCAGCTGGCACAATCTGCACTCAAGCAGCCCAAGAGGATATTCTCGTACATAAACTACAGAACAAGGATTCATCATTAGATTCCCAACCTAATTAAAGTAGGAAGTGAATCTGAAATGATAGAGGAAGATTAGGAAAAAGCTGAGGTTATGGCTGACTATTTTGGGGCAGTTTTCACTCAGGAACCTCCTCTAGAGAAAGAACCAGACCCAATTACAGAGTCAACAAACCAGATGCTCACCGTGGACTTCGACCAAAACGATGTGCTTAAGTCTCTTAGCACCCTAAATATGGAGAAGTCAACAGGACCAGATGAACTACACCCTAAAATCTTGAGACATATTGCCCAATATATCGCAGCCCCACTGACTGTGATATTCAAAATGTCGCTTGACCAAGGTGTGTTACCTATGGACTAGAAGGACGCAATCGTCACTCCCATACATAAAACAGGTCTACGACAAGTTCCATAGAATTACAGATCCGTAGGCCTCACCAGTGTTGTAATTGAAATACTGGAAAGAATAATCAAACGGCCCATAACGGCACTTATGGAAACCAATAAATTGCTGAACATGGCACAACATGGTACAACGAACCTCCTTATGGCTAGGGAGCTCTGGATTAATGCGCTAGACAACGGAAACTCAGTGGATGTTGTCTACATAGACTTCAGTAAGGCTTTTGACAAGGTGCCAACTAATAGACTGCTATTGAAGTTGGAAAACCTTGGTATTGCCGGACCTCTTTTAAAATGGATTAAAGATTTCCTAGTAGGTCGTATGCAAAAAGTAAGAATAAATTCCAAGTGCTCCATTTGGAGACCAGTACTTAGTGGAGTACCCCAAGGTTCCGTCTTAGGTCCTTTACTTTTTATAATGTACGTTAATGATCTTACAAGTATAGTACAGTCTCCAATGTTATTATACGCTGACGATGTAAAAATCTGGCGAGTAATAACTGGAGACAAAGACGCATTTACTCTTCAGGCGGACTTAAATAATATGATAAACTGGTCTAAAGAGTGGCTGATGCCTATCAAATCGGAAGAGTGTGTCTACATGCACTTGAGGGATTCAAAGGTTAATAAGTACAACATAGGGGATGTGTCATTACCCGCAGTC